GCATTCCTTCACTTCAACCAACCAACTTGAATTCTTCTATTAATATCCCCATCTATATCACCATCGCTTTGAACAACGGACCCAAAATATCTAAATCGTTCACAACTTTTAATAATTTGATCAACCAAATTCACACTTCTGTCACTAGAGCTACTACTACTAAAATTACATTCTATGTATTCAGTTTTAGTTCTACTTAAATGAAGGCCTTTAAACTCCAATGTAAACCTCCATAATTCAAGTATTTCCTGGGCTTTTTCTCTCGATTTATCCAAGAGAAGGATTCAGCAAAAAGCATACACCAAGGTAAATCCTCCTGTAGATGTCCAGTAAGACCATCCATAACTAAAGCAAAAATATATGAGTTTAAAGCCGATCCCTGATGTAGCCCAACAGAAATAGGAAAATATTTGGTCAACCCTCCTTCAGTTTGAACACAAGTAACAACTCTAGTATACATATCTTTAATGACTTGAATATAAGTCATATGAACACCTTTCTTCTCAAGAACTCTCCAAATGATATCTCTTGGAACCTTATCGTAAGCTTTTTATAAATCAATAAAAATCAAATGTAGATTCTCTTTATTATTTCTGAACTTCTCCATCAAACATCTCAATAAATGTATAGCTTCCATAGTAGACCTGCCCGACATAAATCCAAATTGATTATGAGAAATCTTTGTAATGCGTCTTAACCTATGTTCAATTACCCTTTCCCATAACTTTAAAGTATGACACATCAACTCCATTCCTCTATAGTTTGCACACTCTTGTGCATTACCTTTTTTTTTTTTTTTTTAAATGGGGACCAAAATACTCTTCCTTCACTCCTCAGACATCTTTTTAGTTTTTAAAATAATATCAAAGAGTTTAGTAAGCCAAGAAACTCCAAAATCTCCTAAATATTTCCATACTTCAATTGGGATATCATCAGGTCCTACAGACTTTCCACCCTTAGTTTTTTTTAAAGTATCTTCAACTTCTTTTTTACTAAAGTGACGGTAAAAATGAAACATTTTATTATTATTCACGATATTAAGATCACTAAGGTCGATCGCATTTTCAAAAACTTCATTAAAAAGTTTATCAAAATAATGAGTCAGATGGAGCTGCCTCTAAATGCATCTACACCTAAGCAAGATACATTCTTTGACCTGGCAAAGGCGAGTACAATTCTTATTTCTATGTAACTAGAAAGAATCCTATTTCTAAGTATTTCTTTGTATTATTATGTTTACACTATTGTATTAAATACTATTTTTTCTATTGAATTATCTAATAGTGATTGCATGAAAATTATACTTGCATGTATAATATTGACATATCTACTAAGAGCTAAGAGTCTAAATTAATAGTGTTAACTCTAATAAAATTCAAGGTCATATTAAGGGTGAATTGACAAAGTAGATATGGTGCTCACATTGATTGTAGAAAGCAGACAACATTATTTTGGATAACAATGATATGATGCATTTCCAAACAAATGTGTTTTTTCATATCTAATTTCAATGGTTTACATTGATTGATTGTAGAACAAAGAGTATTAGGTATTCCTTGCACATGTGAAAAATGGGAGTAAGTTCAGAGGAAAGTTTGAAAAAGTACATAAAAGAATGAATTTGTTCATGTATTTCTCAATGAATCAATAAATTTAACTCTTAAATGAAAAATAGAGTTTTCTATTGAGTTGATAACTGGTACAACACCTATAGCTAATACCCTCCACAAAATGATCCCAAGAGAGTTACATGAGTTAGAAAAATAATTGCATAAGTTCACTGATAGAGATTTATCAATTCCAATGTATTGCCTTGAGGGAGCTCATGTACTATTTCTGAAAATGAAAGTTGGTACCATGTACATTTGTGTATAGAGTATAAGGAATTACATTAGTGACAACTAAGAATAAATATTCATTACCTAAGATAAATTATTTGTTTGAATGGATGGAAGATGCAAGTATTTTCAATATGTATTTGAGATATGGGTTTCATCAATTAAAAAAAAAGAAAGAATGTGACTAAGAATATATTTTACACTAGATATGATCACAATGAATTTATAGTAATGTCTTTTTTGTGTGACCAATACACAACAGTGTTCATTGATTTGATGACCCAAATGTTTTAAATCATATTTAAACCAATTAGTGATTATTTTATGTTTGATATCTTAATATTATAAAGGAGAATTGAAGATCATGCTTCTTAACTCTCAAAAAAAAAGTTTCAATACAAAAGAAATACATCAATCATTTTTTTACCCGTTACTTTTCGAAGAGAAGCTATGATTCATGAATCATTATAAATTCTTGTACCACAAACAAAATGAATGAGTAAAAACCTAATGTTTGCAAGTAGTCCTTACAAACCTACATAATTGATAAACTATCTTCATGAACTGTAGAATATAAATCCCTCGTGTAGTATCTTACCACATTCTATTCCCATAATGGCTTTATGCCTAGAATATTTAGAAATACCTCTTGGGTTCATACTTAAAGTCAAAATAGAGGAAGATTAGACCCCAAAACTAATAAATTTTTGTTTATTGACCATACTTTTATACAAAAAAAATAAACCTTCTAAGAATGCTTATATATTAATTGATGCTTAATTTGTTAAAATAAACCTTACTTCACAAGTTTTATCTTTAAGGTAGATTTCACTCATGAAAGATAAAGATTACATTCAGTCTAATTTTGGTCTTCAAGAACACCCTTATGTCCTATCTCTATGATTTTGCCTACTCAAAATGATCCCAACATTATTGATTCTATCCCTAAACAGAATGTCCCAAACACCATGTCTACTCTCTACTCATGCACAATCCTTCCAATCAAAGTTTTGTCTTCATTTATGACTCCATAAGATTTCCTCTATCGTACTCGAGGGTAAGTTTTGATCTTCCAAATGAAAAAAAAGCATCGATATTCCTATTATTGTTATAAAGAGTATCAAAAGTTGCACAAAGAAATATTTATACCCGTTATCTTTGTACATATCACTTAAATTTCTTTCCCCTCTCCATAAAAAATTCATTATGTCTAAGCTCTATTTTTCCAACAATTTATTGAAGGCAATATCAAAACAAGAACGGAGAGATGCTCTATGATAAAAGATGGCTGCCTTAGAGAAAAATAACACATAAGATTGTTAATGAGCCAAACTAAGAAAATGATGGGCTGCAAACAGGTTTTTACTATTAAGCACAAGATTAATGATAGTATTAAAACATGCAAAACAAAAATAGTTACTAGAGGCTAATACACAGACATATAGAGTTTACTATTAGGAGAAATTTGCATGTGGCAGAAATGAATACAATAAGAATTTTATCTCTAGCAGACACTTTAGCAATATGATGAGAAGAATTCCTTCTTGAATGGGAATCTAAAGGTCAAAGTGTTAAAAATGTTCAACCACTTTAATATGCACCGCAAATAAGGTTTAACGAACGAAAGCTCGAAGAGGTAGAGAACTTAACTTAAGAAGATTGCATAAAGAAGAAGAGCTTCCGATAAGGCTTTGAAGTAAAGCTTAACAAATAAAGAATAAAGTGAAAGCATTTAAAAAAAAAAAAACTAAAAGCAAAAGATCTAAGCTGGTATACTATGTTACTTAAAAGACACTTTCCAAGAGAAAGCTCACATGGGTAGATGAAATTAGAAAAGGAAAAGATTAGAGAGGAACTACGAGCAAGAAGTTTATTATATGGCATGAGGGCTAAGTTATTCAAAAAAAAAATAAATGGTGATGTTTATGGACTTAAGGCATCTCATATTAATCATGTAATATTCAATACATGTTTCATGCTACCAACAGTATCTTGCCTTCAATACGAAAATAATATGCCTTGGAAAGCTCCTGGCCAATAGAAATTCAGGGTAAGTGAGATTTTATCAAAAAGGAAGATTTTGAGATCTCATTAATTAATGAAATGGAGCCAAATAAAGACAAATAGAAAGCCCAAAGGATGGAGGCAAATTAAAATTCAAACATCCCAAGCCTAGTTCAAAAAAAAAAAAGGGGGGGGGGGGGGGGGGGGGAGTGGCTGAAAGTATATGAGAGACACATATCCAATAGAAGTAGAGACATAGTAAGATCTCATCATCTCAAAAGTAATGATTCAGGGTATCAAAAATTGGTTTTACCACCAAAGAAGTGGACAAAAAACTCAATATACAAAATGTGATTAATTCTTGAAAGAACTGACCAGTCAAACTTGATTGCCTTAAACTGTTTTTCCAAGTAACGAAATATGGTATATAGTTGTTTCAAAAAAGTCCCTACAAATTTACTATGATAAAATACTTATTTTAATATTATTAAAATTATCAAACTGAGGTGATTTGTATTTATAAAGCAGTTCTAAATTTATTTTGCATTTGGCTTGCATTAGTTTTAGAGCATATATGATGAGCCTATTTAAAGATATTCAAACAGAGACTATTTGATTAGGTACAAATGAGGACCTTTTCACGACCTATAAATCAGGTCCTTTACAGAGAGGCCCAAATATGCAGACTTACAAACGAATTAAGGAACATCATGCTTATTATTTGACAGCTTCTTAAGAGCTTACAAGCTCAACTTCATGAAGCGGCTTAATTTTGAAGGGGCATGTAAACTAGGGAATGGATGCAAAGTTACAATCTAAACAACGCTAACAGATAAAGCAAAATAAAAAAAATTCCTCTTTCAAGAAAACCCTTAACAAGCAGCAAACACATCTAGCAGTAATATCCTATCCAGAATCTAAATTCACAGCAGAAATTATATCGCTTTAGAATAGAGGCTTTAAATTGCTAGAAATATTTATAATCGGATATCAGACTGTCCTACAATGAGGTAACAATCCTCTCATATCCAGGGGACCTCACCAAAAAAAAGTTCATTTTAGATTAGCACGTTGCCATCACAACATTAATAGAAGCAAGCAAGCAATAGAATGTCGGATATTTAACATCATATGATAAGAAAAACAAGCTCAACATACCACCACAGATCAGTCGTTAAACCTCATTAGCTGCAACATCGAAAACGAAACCCCTGTACACCACCTCCCCATAACCGGGTGCTCCATCCACCCATTTCCATGATCCTCCAACTCCAGCGCATTTCTCCATTTCCTCCTCTTCCTCCCACATCGCCATTTTTCCCCTCACCCTCTTCCCAGAAAACCAAACCCTCCCATCTCCTCCAAAAACCTTCACCTTATTATTCCCCACAGCATTAGCCGTAGCAGCCGCTCCTCCTCGCTGTCCCCCAACTCCTGCAAAGCACCGGTACATCTCCGGCGGCATCCTGCCGACCTCCTCCCACTCCAAGGTCCCTAAATCCAGCCTCAATATCAACACCGTAGAGCACGGAGCGTCCACTGCAAAGGACGACCTCAACCCACCAATCATCAAGATCCGGCTGATCCCAGCACCGCGGACTAGCCGAGGCCGCTTAAGGATATCGAAGACATCTCCCCACTCATGGCGCTCAAGTTGAACCCACCCTCGGGGGCCTCCCAGATCATCGATGGAGCATGAGAAGAGCTTCCACTGACTGCGCCAGGGGTTGCCAGTATCGCAGAGAGCAAAGATAGATGACCCGATGATGACGGGACTGCGGGGTTTAGAGGGCAGGTTAAGCGAGAACTTCCGCCAGGAAGCAGCTCCTGGTGAGTAAGATAAAGCAGCGAGCTCAGTAAGGACCAGAACAGCGCTGCCGGCGATGGCGGGGGCAGCGAGGACGGTACCGTGACGCGACCATGCGGATCCGAGAGGAGGCAAGATTCGGTAAGATCGGGTAAGCGGATTGCAGAGGATCAGAGATTTAGGGGGCTTCGAATCAGAAGAAGACGTGGAGGGAGCAGGATCTGCCCAGAGGTACAGAAGGGAAGACGAGGCCGTGACGGGAGAGAGAGAAGGGAACGGGATAAAGGAAAGAGAGAGACGAAGCCAACGGGAAGAGGATGGGTCAAAAGCGAGCAGGGAAGGTGGAAGGTGATAGTTGTGATGGTGATGACGTGGATGACGAAGGGCTAGGAGGGGAAGAGGAGGCAGGAGGGAGAGGAAGGAAGGAGATGAGAGCGAGTCGTGGAAGTGACGGCACACAGAACGGGAGGCAAGGGTTTCGCGAAGGGGTAGACAGGAGAAGATGTGGTGAAGGGTATCGTCAGGAAGGAGTTGAATGGGGCTTGGTGGAGAAGGATTCTCTTGAGTAATAGACGACGGTGGAGGATCGTCCAGCTCCTCCGTGCCGGTCGGCGGCGGAGACGAAAGCGGCATCGGAGGTCGGAGAACCTTCGCGGCGAGGTTGAAGATGGAGGGTCGGAATTGGTATAAGTGCGCGGGAGCACCAGGGGGTTATTCACGAGACTACCACTGCAGAGGTTTCTGATGTACCGCAGGAGACATTTAACTTAACAGAGGTGGGGAATGGCGTGCAGGAATATGGATGGACTCGACACCGTAAAGTAGCCGGGGTGGCAGCGGGGTAAAACTTGAAAGGTACTTTTTTTGGAATTTTGTATTATTATTTTTTTAATTTTTAAAAAATATATTTCTTGAATGAAAGCTTTGATTGATGGGATTGATTAACTCATGCAATGGAATATGCAAAATTGTAAATTATTCGGAAAAAAAAAATATTTGATTTTTAAAAATATATGGGTCAAATTTAAATTAAAAATAAAGGGGATATATTTCAAATAAGTTGATTCAAATTCAATTTTAAAAATTTTGTTTTTGATTTGATTTATATTCTAGCTTATTTAATACTTTTAAATAATATTTTTAATTATTATCTATATAAAAAAATTGATTGACAATATATAAAAAACTCATTTTGTTAAAACACAAAATACTATTGCTTAAGCCTATTTTTATTATTATTTAGTTTTTCTATATTCTTCTTTCAAGAATAACTAATTATAGACCTAGTCAAAAACTCTCTCTCTCTATCTATAATGATTGGAAACATGAGCTACTTAAATATGATCCTTAAATTCAATCTTTCGTTCACCCTGTCCCACAAGTTGGACTTAACTATTCTATTTAGCTTTATCAGTGGCTTCACACTTTTGAATACATTATTTCTTCTCAAACAACTTTATAACATTATTTTCCTCAATAATATATCAATGCTAATATCACAACATGCTCATTTCCCACATACTTGCTATCATTCATGATGATTTATCATGAGAACCCAAAAGCTACAAAATGACCAAGTAGACAAGAGTTTGCCAAACTCAACAAATAAAAAAATTAAAATATAAATTCCTTTAACTTAATTGGTGCTTTGAAATTAAAATTTAGCTCTAATTTAATCACTTTCTTATCAAGTAGTAATGATGACTTAGAGATTGATCTTTTATTTTAAAAAATTGGGTATACTTGTGTATTGAAAGTTGAGGCTATGATAAATTAGCATTTGAAATTTTAATTAGTTTATTATTTATTAGTGTCTCATTGGTTGATTTGATAAAGAAAATGTAGTTCCAAAAATTTTATTAATTTTAAAAATCTAATTTTTTTATTAACCTAAAAGAGAATTTATCATGTTAAACATTCCTTAAAGAATTTTATAATGAAACTTTGGAGAAATAATCAGATGCTTCATCTAGCTTTTATTCACAAAGATAAATAGTGAAAAAATATATGCTTAAAAAAAACATTTGACATCATTTGGATGAGAAACTAGTCAAAGTAATTCAAGATGTCAAATACTATAGAAGAGAAAGGAAGTTACCATTCATGAAGGAATTGATCTATAACATAATACCACATATAAAAAATAAAATTTCACTCATCATATGTAATGTTGTTTATATTATTTATGATTGAATAAATTATTATTCAAGAAGGATACAAGACAAAAAATGAATTTAAATTTTGAAGAAATAGAGTGTATCGATCAAAAAGGCTTAAGAACACATAAGAGTACAAATGAAAATATGTCTATGATCTGATCATATTTACAACAAAATGGCAGAAAGTTTTAGCATCATCAATTTTTCATGTATTCGTCTAAAAAATATTATATATTAAATTATTACAATCTTGTATTTTTAAAATCACGACACGTTAACTTGAAATTTTCAAATGATCATCTTTTACTTAATGATTAAGGTTGATTAATTAGAAATTTGAATTCCTTGTGAGGGTTAATTTTTAATAAAAAATGAGTTCCAATAAAAGCCAAATTTAAATAAAAATAATTTTCAAATTAAAATTGAACTATGAAAGTGAGATAAAGAGCAAAAAAAATTTTAAAAAAATAAATTTAATTATTATCTCCTTGTAACTAAACCAACAAAGAAGTCAGTCATCATTTTTATTTTTATAAATATTCATTACTAGTTAAGAAAAATATAAAGGAAATAAAAAACTCTTTTTTTTTTTGCATGCATGCTTATGTATGTGAGGTAAATGAAGCAAAAAAAAAAAATCTAATTTTTAGAATGATGGCCAGAAGAAGTTCATTTATCATTGAAATTTTTAATATACAATACTGTCATAACTCTTCCTATAAGATTATAGAGCTTCAAAACCAGAGCAATCTCTCATAAAAAGAGGTCACTACAAATTGTACAACATTACCTCAACGCACTATAAGAATTGATTCATCTTGGAACGTTTTCTAAATATCCTCATTAATATGATATATCCTTATATCAGTGATCTATTAATGAAATTTCTAACAGAACTTATCATGCAATTTGGGAGGGATAAGTATTGTATCAATAAGCTTCATTCATATGTTATTAAGTCATAATATTTTGTTTGTGCCCTTTACGTACTTAGGCTTACTACCAAATCAAAGACCAACCATTGTTGCATTTTATTTTTAATCTCAAGAAATCGCTCTTTGAATCTACTCATCATCAGCATCCTTGACTCCTCTCTTTTCAACCTTATAGACCTAGCTTTTTCATAACATCATCTCTTAATGTGGAATTGTGATTTAAGTTTGTAAGTAGATTCTATAACTTTCAAAGTTTAGTTTGTTAGCCACTATCATCAACTGGTTCCTTCAATAAACTCAACTCTACTCACTTACATGTTGTTCCCAATAATATTTTCTTCACCAATAGCTTCTCCAATAATCATCTTTGAAGTTATATCTTTTGTTATTCTAGCTAATTTCTTTCTTAACCATGTTAATTTGGTAACCACACCCTTAACTTCTATTAAAGTCACCCCAATGCAAAGTTTTAGGTCTATTAGTTTCAATGGTTTTGAACAATGCTTAAACATCTTATTGTGAGAAGTATCAATGATTATCTTATGAAATACCTATTCAACTTAGCTAAGAGGGAAGACCCTATAGAGTTATATCCACCACTCATCATCTTCTCTAGAATTGTTTCAACTCTGACCTCTAACATCAAAATTAAATAAGAACCAAAATTATAAACACTTGAAAGTCCACTTGATGCTTAGGTAAAATTAGTTTAAGTTGTTATTCAAGCTAAAACTTAAGAAATACTTATTCAAGTACAAATGACAATATATAAATAAAATTCATTCAATTATCTTTAGTTCAATTATATTTCTAAAAATTGTTCCTAGGTTGAATCCCCATTTAGCTTAACTAAAAAACATTACCCAACCTATAAATTGAGATGACATAAATCAATCTCTAGAGTGAATTATATGATTCATTCAAAATTAATAAAACTTATATATGGAGATCATAGATTTTCTTAAATCATGAACTTATCTCGGACGGGGTCGGGGCTGTCAGTCGAGACAAAAGTGATGTCGACCGAGTCAAAGAGGTCGATCCAGGCAGAAAGTGATGCCAACTGGGTTGAGACACCAGTCAATGCAAAAGTGATTCCAACCAAGTTGGGCAGTCGGTCGAGGCAAAGGTGATGTCGATATGGTTGGAGCAGTCGGTCGAGGCAGAAAAATGATGTCGACCAGTCCGGAGCAATTAGTTGAGGTAGAAAGTGTGATGCATGAAATACATGTTATGGTGCAAATTATCACAAACAATAGTGAGCCATACTCGTGCTAACAATCTCACGTAGGTGCCTATGGTTTAGCACTTGGATGTGTGGCATAGCTACCTCCTGCTTTGGCGAGGTGTGGGGGGAGCTTCACCTCTAGGTTTCCAAAAGGGAAACTCTCTATGATGTTGTGGAATGGGCTACCTATAAAGCATTTCCCACTTCAAAACTCCTCATGATTTTGCGAGGTAAGCTAGCTACAAAGGTTTTTTCATTTTGTGAAATCCAAACATCCCAACCCTTTCAAGAAAAGTAGAGGAATGCTAAAGCAAGGGAAAATTTTGATTCCAACCAGCTAGGATTTAGGTGTAGGGTTTGCAACAAGAAATCACTCGACTCCACAAGGAGTTTGGCCACACAGGTGATTCCTAACATAGGGCTTTCTCTAAGAAATCAATGGTAAATCCAAGGCATGTGGCATGCTGATGCAACCCCTATCCGAAGCTAGCCCTTTCACCTACACAACGGTTGTGGGTATGTTTATTCAAATAAGAGGAAGCTCTCCTAACAGTAGAAAAGAAACTCACATTCTGGTGAAGCTCCGATAAGATCCGCTCCACTCCTTCTTCAACAAATGAAGAAACTCTCCTTTAAGAGGAGAGTTCAACAAGACTTTGATGAAGTTCTAAGCTCCGACAAAGTTCCAAAGGTGTTCCGGAAATCCTTTGGAAATCCTTTTCTAAGCTAGGAGGAAGCTCTCCTTGAATGTTGGAGAGTAGGCTCCTTGCTCCTTGCTAGCCATGCTCTTTCTCCTCAAGGAAATCTCCTCACACACTCAAGGAAAGATGTGGAGGAAGATGGAGGAGATGAGGAAGAAGAGGAGGAGGAAAAATTTCTTATGAAAGAAATGAAAGGGAAGGGGAAGTAGAAGCTCTCACTCTCACCTTTTTGTCAAGATCTCCACCTCAAGCCCTTTGAGAAGAAGTCCTAGCTCCAAGGAAGAAGAAGAGTTCTCCATAGCTTCTCAAGCACTCAAACCTTCAGCCCACCTAGACTAAAAATGAGTGGAAGATGGGAAAGAAGTGAGCTTCCCCCAGGTTAAAATCAACTCACCCCTTCCATTTGTCCAAAATGCCCTTGCTAAACATTCTTAGTGGCTTCCAAATGGGGCCTAAAGAAGGTATTCTCTACCTTTTCCCACCCCCCAATCAAATCAGCACAAAGCCTGTCATTTCAACTGCCTTGGGCTGTGCCATAGTCAAATTGGTGTCAAAAAAATACTTTTTTTCATGATTTCAGAAGGGACCAGAGCTTAGGCGTTGTGGGCCTAGATGCATAGTCTGGCACCCTAGCGCCAACCCTTTGATGCATAGGCGCCACCTAGGTGGTGCCTAGTTTTCTGTCTCTCAAGCAAAGACCTTTTCAAGTT